CAGGAAGGGCCAATTAGAGTCAAGCTAGAGACAGAAACAAAATTGGAAATTACCAGTCCATACATATAGGAAAGCGATGGCAAACCTAAACAGCATGATAAAAAGTAGAGACATTACCCTGCCAACAAAAGTCCGCATGGTCAAAGCAATGGTATTCCCAGTAGTCATGTATGGCTGCGAGAGTTGGACTATAAGGAAGGCCGAGCGCCGAAGAATAGATTCTTTTGAACTATGGTGCTGGAGAAGACTCTTGAGAGTCCCTTGGACTGCAAGAAGATCAAATCAGTCAATCCTAAAAGAAATCAACCCTGACTGTTCCCTGGAAGGCCAGATAATGAAAATGAAGCTCAAATACTTTGGCCACCAAATGAGAAGGGAGCACTCACTGGAGAAGACCCTGATGCTGGGAAAGATTGAAGGTCAAAGAAGACAGGGACGGCAAAGGATGAGATGGTTAGACAGTGTCATAGATGCAATGAACATGAAATTGAGCAAACTTCAGACGACGGCGGAAGACCGGAAGGCCTGGCGGGAGCTGGTCCATGGGGTCGCGAAGAGTCGGACTCGACTGTGCGACTGAACAACAACATATAGGTAGAGGGTGAGCAGTAAATTATCATCTCTCTATATAATAATTCTGTTTTGCTCATGGACTCTCCTGAACATTCCACATGCTCCCAAATCAGTTGGCTCCCTGATCTGTCACTCAGAAGCCGACCCTATCCACTGGCTGCGTTGCCTGAGTCTTGCCTCCAATATTCTAAACAGTTTGCTGTTCCTCTCCCCCCAATAAGCCAGTTGGAACACAGAGGTCATTTGCATATGCAGCCTGATTGGCCTTTGCCTCTAACATTTTAAACAGTTTGTTGTTGCTGCTGGGAGTCATTGAATGTGTCCTGAGGTAAAAGACATACCCCAATTTCCCCATAAACGGTCACTGGAGTTGCCAATCTCACTGTGGGGCCTAGAGACCTCCCAAAAATCACCGTGTTCCCCAGCCACAGCACATCATTTCCCCTACAGAAATTTCCCAGCTATTACAATGGCTGCTTTGGGCAGTGGACTCTATGGCATTATACCCTGCTGAGGTCCCTCTGCGCCCCAAACTCTGCCCGCCCCAGGCACTACCCCTCAAATCTACAGGTCTGGCCCTCCCCTTAGTATTGCCAACCTCCAGGCAGTACCTGGAGATCTCCAAGATCAGCTCTCCTGTAGAAATTGGCTGCTTTGGGCAATGGACTCTATGGAATTACCGTATTTTTCGGACCATAAGACGCACCTGACCTTAAGACGCACCTAGTTTTTAAAGGAGGAAAACAGGGGAAAAAATATTCTGAACCTTCGGTCCATAAGACGCACTCACTTTTCCTCCCACTTTTTTTGGAAGAAAAAGTGAGTCTTATGGTCCAAAAAATACGGTATACTGTTGAGGTCCTTCTGCACCCCAAACCCTGCCCTCCTGAGGCTCAGCCCCTCAAATCTACAGGTCTGGCCCTCCCCTTAGTATTGCCAGCCTCCAGGCAGCACCTGGAGATCTTCAAGATCAGCTCTCCTGGAGAGAATGACTGCTTTGGGCAATGGAATCTATGGCGTTATACCCTGCTGAGGTCCCTCTGCATCCCAAACCCTGCCCTCCTCAGGCTCTACCCCTCAAATCTACAGGTATTTCCCAACCCAGAGTTGGCAACCCTGTAACTGGCTTGGAACCCAGAAGACATGGCATAGGAGAAGATGGTTTTCTACCTTAGCTACCACTGCATAACCCCAAATCAACATAAGTCAGGGGTGAAGGGAACTATACCTGTTACCATGAGGCTGTCCTCCCATACCACCCATTGGGGGCAGCAAAATGACTTGAGACAGCCCTATTTTATAGCTAAGCAGAAGGAAATAAACACGGCTTGCCTCCCTCTATTTTCCCTTCCCTCTGCCACCCCACCAGCCACAGCCGGGACACTCACCTGGAGCTTCCTTCTAGAGCTTGTTGTATTTCTTCCCACAACAGGCCTTACTCCTAGTATGGCATAATGAAAATGCTTAACAGATACAAGGGTCAAACAGGAATAATAAGCTTAGTTTATATGGTAACCATTTGTTCAGGTCCAGTTCTGCGGCAAAAACAGTGAAGGAAATTGTCAAAATTGGAGACTGATGTCTCATTAATTGTAGAATGCTGAGCGTAATTGAGACCCTGCCACCCGTCTCTTCTCAGGCATGGAGCCTCCATGCTTGAGGCTCCCAAATCTCAAACATCAGCCAAATATTCCCCCAAAACACCTGCATTTTTTCAAGTATATTCAGACAAGAAATATCTGAAAGCAGATCATTAACTATGAATGCAACACACAAAGGCTGTGTGGTGCTAGTCTAGTAGTTACTCATTTCACTGAAGTTAGTGGAATTAACTCACCAACAGGAAGATTAGGGAAACTGAACTGTCCATTCTAAATCACATGCTGCCACTAACCCTTCCCCACAAGAAGAGGATACCAGTCGTGGGAAAATAATACATAATTCAGTTTGTGACTACAAGTTTTTATTTCATAAATTGCAGTTATTCCTCTATAACATATTAAAATAGAAAACATTATCTGCTCAAATACACATAGAAAATATTAATACAGTAATAAAATACTGAAAATATTCAAGCACCAGAACATTAAGTCTATTTATTGGCATAGGTACTAGGAATATATTTTTGAAAGTGTTCAATAAAGTGCAAGTCAGTCTTCAGATTCAGTGATAACCATTTTTAAAAATAGGTCCAATTTTGAGACTGGAATGAAACATTATTCAGTTTTAACATGTCAACACAGACTTTGGAAAATTTCAATTGGCTTCTGAGGTCTCAAATGTGATGAGAATGTGAACTGGCTTCTCTTTTTAATATACAAGATGGACAGAAGAAAACCCATCCAAAATAACTGATAATCCTGCAACAACTAATAATTTTAGTCTAAATCAGAATAGGCCTATGAGCACAACAAGAACCATTTAAAGATGCATCATGCCTACATAAAGCCTCAGTTGCACTGCACTGAGACCATTCTGCATTACAGAAGTCTAGAATGTTTACGTACAATATTATGTAGCCTCCATTATGGCTGTAAATAGATATGACGACAGCAGATCTGTTCATTTAAATTCAAACCTTCCCAAATTGTATAAAGTGAAGGTAAAAAGGCCCACTGCAAAAGCAAACAGGGCATGCAGGTGACTAGTGCAGAGCCTGCCTTCTGCAACTTCTCTTCCTCTTATTCAGACCTGTAACTCCTTTTTCCACCAGCTTGACACAGACCCATCTTGGCTGAGAAAATGTCCCTGGGATGATCATCAGGAATTAACCAACAGGAAGGGGGGGGGGGTTTCCAGCTCCTCTCACCCATATATTCGTTTTGTTCTTAGACTATCCTCAGCCATTTAAAATGTAGTTTAAACAGCAGCAATCTCATGCAATTTGACTCTAAGCAGTGAATATTGTAAAATTTTTCACATTACGGCCACAATTCAATACAATTAAGTACGCTTAACAGTAATAATATCAATATGCTTTACTGTGCTGAACTGCAGCTTAACTTTACATCAATGACTAGTAATCAGTTTTTACAGACCTGAGACAACAGCCCAGAAGAGTGAATAGTCCTACCCAGTTGAGGCACTTTGTGGAGAAATAGAAAAAATGGGAATGGAAACGTTTTCCCCAAGGTTCTTCTACAAGTATTTTGTCCTGCTATAGTAAAGGCCAGGATCTGCCAAGTCCACTGCAGGTGCTGAACTCTGCTTATGCAGGGACTTTTGCCTGCACAGCAAACAGGAACAACTGGCAAGTGCCATTAAAGATGTCTGAATGTCCACAGAACACCCCTCCTTCCCCCACAGAGAGGCATGTAGAAGCACATGAGAAGTTTCTGCATATGCTAGAATCTAGATTACAACCAATGGGATTAAGGAGAAGTAATTGGAAGCAGAACTGCAGATATAGCAGAAAAAGGGCAAACCATGACTCCAGTTATTCTTCAGGGAAACAAGCACTCTGAACTCATCTCAGAACTGCACTTACACACATGACTTATTTACTACATCGCCTGAACTCAACCAAATTAAAAGGGTTTAATGTTGTCAAAGATCACAGCAGGAGTTTTACAGTTTTTAAATTTTCATATGACATGACTGTAGTTGGGAGTAACGTTTATTTAAATTTCTGCATTTCTCAGACACATTTCTGTATCTTTTAGACCACCACTGAAATGCTTTAATGTGTACTACTATTTTCACAGTGACTTTAATGTCCCTGCAGCTCTTTCTTTCATATCACATTATTTATACCAAAGGTCCAAAAATGCCTTCTTGTGCTGGCAGAAGGATCCTTGTGCCAGAGTAAAGCTCTACCTTTAGCATTATCAGTATGTAGGATCCATCCCAATATCTGAAGCTTGAGTAAACAAGTTTATGGCACTCTTGCTTGCTGCCCAAGAGTTACAAGAGACTGCTGTCCATCACATTAGTGGCCCTGCAGCAAGAAAACAGTTGAGTATTGAGGCCCTAAAGCCTTTATTTCTGACAAGGAAAGTAGAGTTGCGGTCCTACCCACTGATTTATGGTGTAATTTCTAATCTAACAAACACAAGCTTTTAATTGGGTATCTTTGGAACTGTGGCAAGCATTTTTTGGGAAATATGGCTATAAGATTAACATCGGATGAAAATAGTTTGGCATAAGATAGCTGTAATAATTCTGAAAAGTATGAACAAGACCCCCCCCCCATTCTTCCATTTTGAACAGCATCACTGCATATTATGTACACTCATACGCTTTATATACAAATATAGGAAATTTTCATTTATGTTATTACCAACTGTGTACTTACATGTGAATAGAAATGTTACATTTTATGTACATAATTAAGTCTTGATACATGTTATATGATTTGCATGAGAGAAGAAAAAACTGTTACGTTATAAAATGTCTTTAGGTCTAAACTCTTAAGGTGTCCAGTGAAACTGACTACTTTAATATCTTATTTTTGTCCTTCCTCTTGAACCATCAAGGTCTATCTGCTGTTGAATAGCATGGCTCAGTCTCGTGATTTTCAGCTTCCAGGGAAGCCCATACAGATTGCCTTTTGGGCAGTTCCACAGTTCCTCCAACCACTATCAGTTCCTCTCACACTGAATTACTTAGGCAGCATTTATTGTACAGGGCATTGCTATTTATCTTCCTTGAGAGAATAACACGTAGAAACAAGCATTGGCAACTAGTAGCAATACTAACACCGTAGTCAATTGCTGGAGCCAGACACATCGATCAATCTGTTCTTGAAGCCTTTTATTACTGTGCAATACTTGTGTTAGCTGGGGAAAAAGGGGGAAGGCACATGGATTAAGATATTATTATGAATCTGATCCCCCCCCCCCGTTTGCAGTTAGGTGCTGCCATTCTACCATCCCACTTAGACCCAGCTATCCCCCCCCCAAAAAAAAAATACCGCAATGTTGATGGAATTTGCCAGTCACAGTTTCAACACAATACATTCTGTGGCCCCGGTCACACGGAGCATTAGCCATGCTAGAGAGATGGAAGATAGGCGGATTTTCCGGGCTCAATCTCACCGCCACATCTGGGAAGCGTAGAGCTCCCGTGGCTCAACTGAGGCTTCCCGCCAAAGATGCGTGGCAAAAAACTAGTACCTTGGAGGTACTAGTTTCCAGAAACTGCGGGGCATGGGCGGGCATCTGATCGCGTTTCCGGTGGCATCTGGCACCTGCCCATGCCCCATTGTGAAAAGGTTTTTTTCCCCCGAAGTCTCCAGGGATGCACACAAGCACCCAACGAGGCATGCACATACTTCAGGTTTAAAAAAACAAAACACAACCCTGTTTGCCATGCCGCGCCTTTGGCGCATCATGTGATCAGCACCTCCCCCTAAACACGGGACTTCGGCGGGACCGCAAACAGCCACGCCTCCCCCCCCATGATATCCGGCCCGTGTGACACCAAATTAACAGGACAAGTCCACAGTAATTCTTAGGCCCTTGCAGTAAGACAGAAATAAAGTATACCGAAACCTTAGTAGAGGCTGCAACACAGAGCCTATATTCTAAGGGGGAACATTACACCTTTTCATATATGGTAAAGAGCAACAAAGGTAGCATATATAGTTGAATATATGTATTTGGTTTAGTTATTTAGACCCACTTTCAGGAGAATTTTCCTTCCCCAGCTTCAATGATAGAAATTAAATGTTTCTGTGATATGTTCTCCTATGGCAGCCTGTTGTATCTAGCACAACAGCAAGGTGATCTGCATAGACTGTAGGAATACTGGGCCAGGAACCATCAACATTGACTAGCTGGGTAAGAGTCCCTTGAATTTAGGACTGACTGCTGAAGGAAGTAAGAAGGGGGATCCTGAAAAACCACAATGGATTGCAAATCCCTTTGGATCCCAGATGTGAGCTATAAATCAAGATGTACAAAAGTTACCTGGAAGTATAGATCTTCACTGGTTTTTGCAGGGACATTACAGGCATTCTCATTTATTGTTAAAGTCGAAGGCTTGCTGCTTTCTATAACATGACATCTCAATCTGAAACACAAAAATCATACAGCAGTGACACTTAGTACACTGACAGAAGCCTGCACTAGTATTCTTCATTCTGAGCCTCTTCCACTGCATGGCTCTGTTCTCTGTCAACATCTGTTTCACATATTCAATGATGCAATCTTTATCTCTGCTCCCCCCCCCTCTTCTGCAGACTGAGCAGACAGAACAGTACCACCTACTGAAGTAGTTCTTGAACCACAGGACACCTGCACAGGTTGTATAACAAGCCACTGAGGAATCAACCAGCACAACAGCAAGGTGCTCTGCATAGGATGAGGGCAATACCAGGCCAGGAACCATTAACACAGGCTAGCTGGGTAAGGGCTAGCTAGGGAAGGAAACAGAATCAAACCAGAAGTAGTTAGGAGGAAGAGCCTGGGGTGTATGAAAAGCAGCCATATGGGGAAAACGTTCTACAGGATATGCAGGCAAATGCAGAATATGCAGCACAAGCGTCATCCTAAAGAAACAAGGTGGTGAGGAACATCTATTGCAGGCCAGTAACCAGGATTTTTTGTTTTTGTTTGGAGGCATTTAAATTTTTAAGGGGGCAGTTAATTAGTTAATTAATTACATCTGAATGCCTGTCTTTAAAGGGGGAGGCTCCGGGCCTGTTTCTAGCCCTTCCTTTCATGGGATAGGGCAGTGAGCATGTCAGTTCCTAGGGAAAAAAACAGCTCAGAGGGCATTTAAATGCCTTCAGAAGACAGTTAAATTCCTTTTGAGTTCCCTTCCACAGGGCAAGAAAGCTTAGAACGACACTCAAGAGTGGCACCTTCCAACGTACCTTCAGCAATCCCCCTTTTTGCTAGCCCAGTCCTGCTGTATACCATGGTGGTATTAATTAATTAATTTGCATACTTCCTAAAGGCTCATGGAAATGCTTTCAAAAGACTCCTTTCTGTGCCATTCCTTTTCTGTTTAATAGTCATCCATAGCCTCACAGTAGAGAGGATCAGTTATGTGCATACTGGAAACTGTCTAAACAGCGATTTCCCAAGTGCTTGCTTACTCTAACAACCACATAATATGTATAATAATTACCAGTTACATTTCAGATTTTTAATCTGTGCCATTCTGAAGTGCTGAAGTACACACCTACTAAATATTAATCTGGCTGAAACAAATTAACATTTGATCATCTTCTGCTAAAATACATATGGCACATGTGTGACCACATTTTAAACTATGCTGTCATCTGAAGGCATCCTCTAGGTCAACAGGAAATTCTTACCTGTGCTCCATCACTTTGTTTCTTTGAACTTCTTTCCAAAACTGAGCCAATTCTTGAGTTCCTGTTCCAGAGCACTGATCCATTTCTGCTGCCATAATCAAAAAGCGGTCTTGCAGGGAAGCTGTACAGCCTGCCCAAAAGTTATTAGCAATATGTCAATTTTACCTCATTTGGATTTAATCAGTACTGAAATTTAATACACTGTGTGGAAATTATGGAAAATTAACAAAGGATATAAACTGCCAGCTTGCTAGAGCAGGTGCAAGACCTGCTAATTTGCAAGGATGAAGGAGGATGGGAGAAGAGTTTAGAGATGGAGTACATTTAGTATACTGAGAAGACCTTTAGATAATTTGTCCGGTTAACAGATCACAAGGAGAGGCCATGACTTCCACTGATGACTCTAAAAAGCAGAGACTGAATTTCCTGCTACTTAGGATCTTGCACTAGGTTGCAGGAATGAAGAATAATGTATGATTATTCACAAAGGAGCAATGCCTTCTGTCCCAAAGTATTAGCACAGGAGGCTAGCTCCCGACACACTGGAAGATACTATTGTACCATAAAGCATGTAAAGAGGTTCCACAACACAAAAAGTGCATATTTTCATGCACTCTTGCAAGATCAAAAAAACTGAGATTATGCCTCCTTGAGGTACATTAGTAAGCAGGCTATTTAAAATCTTTCTAAGTTATGTGGTCAAGCAAGAACCTGGCCATAGCTGCACATCCAAACAGCACATAACTTTAAAAAATGCAGAATTTACATCAGCATCATTGATGCTTGGAAGCCAGAAGCAAGCCACTTGGGCATTTTAAAAAATGGAAATTAAAAGTTCAGCAAGTAGACAGGCCAGTAATGGAGTAAGCAGCATACATCAGATTGTGAAACTGGACTCTAAATGTGAAACTGGACTCTAAATGGAATGTGATTCACAGCAAGCCTACATTCCTTTCCCTATTCCACTCACTGCAGAAAGCAGTAAAAGACTGTACTGAGAGACCTCAACTGGAGAGGCCCTCAGAGGCAGTGATGTAAAGATGGCCTCCATCGGACTTTCCTCCTAGTACATGTACATAGGACTGAGGCCATAGTACATATCATAGAACTGTTTATTTCACCAAAGAAATCTTGTTTACAAACTTGTTTTCTCACTTACCACCATGAAGAGACACTACTATATCTAGTGATGTGCCTGGTTCACAGCTGCTGTTACTTGGTTTTACTCGGTACTTGTCAGGAGCAGTTGTTCTCACCTAAATATAGGACAACCATAATTAAGCTCTCAGGTTGCCTATTCAAATTTCTTAATACATGCTTGGTAGTCTGACTTCCAACATTATACAAGAAACATGTTAAAATAAGGCTTGCTTCCCACTACACCACTTTTGGAATGTTTGACATGGCTCCTGATATTCTAAGGAAACTCAGAAATGAAGGACCTTTTTGTCCCAAGCGAATTTACAACTAGTGGATCAATCAGCTAAATCCAAGTACTCTGGACTAATTTCTTTGTAGGCAGGACTGTTTAAATATTAAGACATGAGAATATCAGAATGCTGCATAAGACCTTGGCCTGTTGTCCAGTGTCTTGTGAGCCCAGATACACATTGTGGACTGACATGCCTCCCCCCGCTACCATTTTAGATGAGAATTTAGCAGTTTAAAAATGCCATGAAGGTGGGCCTACGATGCAGAAGCACTATGCGATCTCCCCCCCCCCCCAGTTCCCTCAAGTGCTGAAACAGCGCTCCATTACCATTTGGTGGATCAGGTCCTCATGACAATTTTTAAACTGCTAAATCCTCATCTAAAATTGTGTCAAGCATGGGTTGTCCCATGGCACCCAAAACATGTAGTTTGGCTCCGTATCTAAGCAAAGAACTAGATGAATCTGAAAACTGACAACCAGTGAAGAAATGGGATAGCTGTGTCTCCCATTTGTCCTCTGAAGTTTGGATTGCCTTTCAGACTGATAGAGGATTTTGTAGAAGAGTTACATGTGAATAGCTAATCACCACATCTCATAGTAATGAATTCTAAGTGAAGTTACATTGTATGTGACTTGTAGGGTGCGTTCAGACGCAGCCTTTACAACGGATTCTGTGCCGGTTGCAATCGATGTACCTACCGGCGTTCAGACGGGGAACATCTGTCTTCCCACTCTATCCGTTATAAAGAGCTGTACACCGTTGCACTCTGCCACTAGGTCCCTAGTGGTGGTAAACTCAGTGCAACGGTGCCTTCCGATGCAAACCGGCGTCTGATCGCTCTCCACCGGTGCCTAGCCACTTCCGTCGGAAGCCTGAGGCTTCCGGCTTTCCCCCGCCATTTAAAAAAAGACTCCTAGCGGTATGCGCTTGGGCGAAGCTTCGCCCTAAGCGTTTGTGTTTTTTTTTTAAAAAAGCCCTTACTGCAGCATTTCGGAGGCGTCCGGGACCTCCGGGAGGCTACTGTGCTCTTTAAACTTTAAAGGTAAGTCCTTACCTTTAAAGTTTAAATCTACTGGGGGGGGGGGGTGAGCATGCGCAAAGATCGCCATTCTGTGGATGGCTGCCTTTGCACATGCGATCTTCTCCACTCCACTCCACTCTCCCCCCGAAGCTGTTCAATCCTCCCGTAAACCTTCTTGTTTCTCTGAACATCAGCAAAACTGGCCAGTCTCTAAAGGAGCCATCTGTCCGTGTCCTACAGTAATTACGGTACCAATCTCCTCTTAGCCGTCAGGACGCTGAGCCCGCTCCCAGCCGCTTGTTCAGCTGCGCGTCCTTGGTCTCCCTCTGAGCGAAGGTTTTAAAGTGAACACATTGCCCATGGAAACTCAACAGAAGAGAACAAAAAAAAAAAGGTCGGTCACCTCTGTTGAAACTCTTATTCATCTCCGTTGAAACCAGCTTCGGCTGCTGCAATCTATTACCTCCTCAGACGGTGGTGGGAAGGCGAGACTTGAAGAGTGTGATCACGTTTCAGCCGGAATAAACTGCACCGGTTCCAACCGGTGCAGTTTATGCCGGCAGAAACGCCCCGTCTGAACGCACCCGTAGTGTGATGAACACTTCTTTGGCTGTTGTGTCCAAAACTTCACTTCACATACAATGATCATAGTTTATATAAGCTTCCAGGATTTGACACACATTGTCTGTCTAGGGA